TGCTGTGGGCTGGGCCCCAGCCTCTTGTGGCCGCCCACACACCACACTGACCTTTCTCTGCTCTCAGCAGCTCTGCAGCATCATGTGTGCTGCAGGTCAGGAAGCATTTATGGGAGGATGGGTGGGCACCATTGGGACCCTCTCCTCCAGGGTTGGCCACCCTCATGCTGGCTTCTGCTCTCAGCCCTGCTCAGTAGCATCCAGAGCAACCTCTTTTGTCAATTTGCAGCCCTTGAATGCTCCAAGGACTTTGGCCTGTGACTAAAGTGAGGGACGGATGATGTCCAGGAACCCCTTAGAGACCTTTGCCGGACTCATTTTGTCAGTTGGGGCCTGCGGAATTCGGTCAGCCAGTTCTCTCTTTCTCTGGGGATGCTTTGAATGGGTCAGCCCTGTAAATCCCCTCCCTCTTAACTCACCCCATGTCCAGACTTTGCCCAGCTCATTCCTGGGCAAAGGAGGATCATGACTTCAAAGCCAGCCTCAGCAACTTAGCGAGGTCCTAAGCAACTCAAGGACACCCTGTCTCTAAATAAAGTACACAAAAGGGCAGGGTTATGGCCTGATGAGCCCATTCTGGCCAGATGAGCCTTTCCCAAGTTTTAGCCATGTTGTAACATCTAACATCAATACTGCTGCTTTTCATATACCCCTTCCCCAAACAGAATGTTTCCCAGACCTCTATAAACCATCTGAGTCTCTACCAACAGTAGAAATGATGTAGCTCCTACCTGCCTCTGGCTCTGCCCTCTGCACCCCTCTAGCAGATGGACCTGACCCTCAGGAGCACAACCATTTGCATGTAGTACCTGCTCCGTCCAGTCTGCACCTGGGCTGGTTGCAGGGTTCACCCCCAACACGGGTTTCTCTACAGTCAATCCCAGTGCTGGCTTTTAACAGCAGCGGGAGAGAAATGAGTTGTGTTCAAGGGCATTGTTTTTAAAGGATGGTTCTTTAATGGGGTCCTTGCTGCTTTGAACTCTTCCAGTGCTTCTGTTTTATGGGTATCGATTTTTTCTGATCATAAAAGTAATGTATGGTTATTGTTAGAATGTGGGGACAATATAGAAATGTGTGGCTTGGAGGGGACAAGTGCTCATGCATAGACTCTTCTTGGTTCGCTCCTTGGCATTGTGTCTCCTGTCCTCAAAGGGGTGGGCAATGACCCTGACCCTGCCTCTTGTGCAGCAGCAGTGGGAATGGGTGGTGTTTGCTATGACTTGACTTGAGATGGGGGGCTGGCTCAAGGAGCTTGTCTTTGGAGTGTGACAGCAAAGCGCCTTGAATCGTAGTGGTGTGTAGTAGGGAAAGTTTGGGCCTGCCATTGAGAACCCAAGACAACGGGGGCTGCACCCTGGTCTTCCTCGCCTGCACAGTGGGGATGACGAGCCCTCGCCCGCCTGTTTCTGAGGGAGGAGATTGGGATGAACAGTGGAGCTGTGGAAGGGAATACTCTAAGCTCTAAATTCTGCACATTGTCATTTGATTCGGAAAAATTCCTACTGTTACCACCAAACAGCTCCCTTATGGTTCTGAGCCAGTAGACTTGGGAATTTAGTCTTAAGGGTTGGAATTTCATTCTCTTGTAATTACACATGTGTGCTCACATGTGTTTGCATACACACACACACCACGATGCAAGCCGCTTTGAGCTTTGTGGGTGGCCATGTGCAGACCTCACTGTGGTACGCATCTAGGAGCAGGAGCTCTGGAAGAGGTGGGCACATGCCCAGGCCCCTTGGGATCCATGGGAGGAGCAGAGAGCAAACCAAAGTAGCCTGGGCCAAGTAAGTGTCCCAAAGGCCAGTCGATGAGCAGCACTGTGCGCCTTCCCTTTAGAGAGTGGGTACTCCATCCATTCGTGTGGGGTCCTAATGCTGCTCTCTGCTCTCTGCTGTATCCCATGGTGTCACTCTGGCCTGCTAGGAGAGGGGTGTGCTCTTTGGGGGTCTTCAGGGAAGGGCATTGTAGAAAGTGGTGGCCAGTGAAGGCTGGGGAGAGCTGTGCTCTGGAGGGGAGGAAGGTTGGAAAGAGAGAAGTCCCTGACCAGAACCTGCCTGACCCTCAGCCCTCCACCGTGCTTCTGGCCCCTCCATACCTACCTTCAAATTGGCTCTCTCCCAGGATAGACCTGTGACAGTGGACATCTCCTGCCTCACCGAGGCCTGGCACCCACCCACAATGCCAGCTGTGGCCCCAGACTCAGGGGCTTCTGGACCGACATGGTCCCAGTAAAGGTTGGGAGGAGAGGCCCCAGGAATTGGGGTGTCGGTGGCACGTTCACTTTCGCCTTTGAGACCTTGGCTACTTGACTATTTAGTTCATTTCCAGCCTCTCACACCATCCTAGGGGGTCCTCCCTTCTGAAGAAGGCAGGGAGCTTCACCAATTTTTTATTTTTTATTTTTTTTGGTACTGGAATTGAACCCGGGGGCACTTAACCACTGAGCCATATCCCTGCCCTTTTGTGTACTTTATTTAGATACAGGGTGTCCCTGAGTTGCTTAGGGCCTCGTTAAGTTGCAGAGGCTGGCTTTGAAGTCATGATCCTCCTGCCTCAGCCTTCCACACTGCTGGGATTACAGGCATGTGCCATCACATGGAGCTCGAGATACCCAAATTTCAGAATCCAGTGCCTGTGTCTTGTGACACTGGGCAAGTTATCTAACCTCCTGGTACCCTAGTTTCCTCATGTATGGAATGGTCATAATGATAATGGTCCCTCCTCCCTGGATTGGATGTTTATATAGCTTGTATACACAAGGTGCTCAAAACGGTGCTCAGCACTCCATGTTAGCCACCAGTGCTTTTATTGTCATTTTAGGTGGCCCTTCTCATTTTGTTCACCCTGCACACAGGCATTCACAAGAATAATGTAGTCCTCGACCCCCTCTCCATTTTCAGAGAGGTCTCGGTCACTTCGAGGGCTCTGGACATTACCAAGGTCCAGGTGACTGCAGCTTTTATATCTCTAAAATGGCTTAGGAAAGCATGCCCATGGAATCAAATTTGTAAAATACCAAAAAGAGGATAAGGAAGAAATTTTAAAAATTATTGATAACCTGTTTACTCAGAGGTAACTACAATTGGTATTTTCATGTAGTCTTACCAGCTGTGTGTGTGTGTGTGTGTGTGTGTGTGTGTAAAACACCAGTATAATGTGTCATTTAGAAAAGAAAAAAAAATACACATAATAGCATTGTTTATATTCTGCTTTTGTCACCCAAAACCATAACTGTGAACATTTTCTGATGTCCTAACTTTGAAAATACCCACATTTCTGAACGTCTCTTCCTATGTGTCTGCCCAGGGAGGCATTTGAGGGTCAAGGTCAGCGTGGCTCACGAACTGCTTCCTCTGCCTCTTTCCATCCTCAGCCCCTTCCCCAGGTCAGCTTGTGCTGCGTCTGGCGCTGTCCTGTCCACCATTCAGTGCCCGTCACCACCCCGACTCCTCTTCCTCCTTGCCCCGTCCTGTCCCACATCCCTCCTTTGTTGGATTCTGTAGCATCAGGCTCTCTAGTGTCTCCATCCCATCGTCTCCCTCACTCCCCCCCTTCACTACCACATGCCAGTTCCTGTCCTGATCTTGTCGGTTTCCTCTCCTCTTGACTCTGACACTATTTTTTCTCTTGCTCATGCAATCCATATTTATGATAGAAAATGATGCCCGAGCCTGCTCCCTGGATCTCCTCCCGCCTGGTCTCGCTGGCCGCATCCCATGCTCACATCCCTACCAGGGCAATCTTCTGCAAGCAACCGCATCCTGGCCCCCTACCCCCATGGCCTGTGGTGCACCACAGATGTTTCCATCTGGCCTCTAGGACATGCCCATCCTGCCCATGTGGACGTAGCTCCATTGTTTCATGGACTCTGTGTCCCAGCCAAGGTTTGACCTGAGGGCTGTGCTCAGGCTGTTCCCATCAAATGCTGCCACCCTCTCCCCACTTGGTTCAGTGTTCTTCCACCCACAAGGTCTGTGCCTAGTGCCCATCCTCCCTGTCAAGTTCCTGGTAGCTCCCAGATACCCCCCACCACCACCTTTGAATGCCATATACTGACTCGTCCTTCCCTTGAGGTAATTCTGTTAGAGCTTCGGTGCTCTTTGCATGGGCACGAGGAAGAACGGAGTCTGAGGGGTGGGGGGAGACAGAGCTTGTGTGAGTCTCTGCTTGACTGTATTCTAGCTGAGGCTCAGTGTTCTCGTCTGTAAAGTGGGAGCTAATAATATATCATAACTTAGGTCCCATTTCTAGGAGGATTCGAAAGATGCATGTCAAGGCTGAGTGCAGTTTCTAGAATATGGTGAGCATTCAAAAAATGGCAGTTTTATAGTATTCCTGTCCTGCCTTCCTCCTTGAGCCCGCCTGCTTGGGGCCATCCCTGAAGCCTAGCTCATTCTCCAGTGGTGCCAAAGCTGTCTGAATCCAGGAGGTTTGGCTTGACTGGAACACAGGTCTCAGTTCATCCACCCGATGGGAGGCAAGGGACATTAGTGTCCTGACTTGGTGCAATTTGGAGGATGGTCCTACTGCCTGGCTGAGCACCCCCTGCCCCTCCTCCTCTGGATGGCAGTCTGTGAAGCCCCTCTTGCATGATTGGTTGGCCCTGCAGAGGCCACATCCTGAACCAAACCAGAGGCTTCTTTGGAGCTAACCCAGCCAAAGCCCAGGTCTTCAAAGATTGGTAGAAGGGGAATTTAGGGCACATCCAGCGGCTCAGGCAGCAGCTGGGAAAGAGAGCCCCTTCCCTAAACTATCAAGGACAGTCTTTTGGTGCCAGCTACTGTGGGGGTAGGGCAGATCAAGGGCAGTGTCTGGTGTAAACAGGTAGTGGCAGGAGAGACATCTAGACACTGTCTGGTCTTCCCTGGGTCCTGCAGGGTTGGTCTAGAGGTGAGCCACCTGCTCACCCTCCCCACTGCTGGGGGGACAGTCCCCCAGCGGTTCCCCCAGCACTCGTCCCCCTCAGTTACAGCCTCTGCTGCTGTTTTCTCTTGTAGCCAGGCGGTACTCCAGGGTCCGGCCCAAGGTGACCCTCCTGAACTACACCTCCCCAGTGACCACCGTCAGCCGGCCGCTGAACGAGATGGCCCTGACCCCACTGACGGAGCAGGAGGGAGAGGCCTACCTGGAGAAGTGCGGCAGCGTTCGGCGGCACACGGTGGCCAACGCCCACTCGGACATCCAGCTGCTGGCCATGGCCACCATGATGCACTCGGGCCTGGGGGAGGAGGCCGGCAGCGAGGACAAGTGCCTGCTCCTGCCGCCCAGCTTTCCCCCGCCCCACCGGCAGTGCTCCAGTGAGCCCAACATCACCGACAGCCCCGACGAACTGGAGGAGGTGGCAGGGGACAGCCAGGAGGACTCGGAGCTCATGGAGGAGGTGGCAGGGGACAGCCAGGAAGACTCGGAGCTCAACTGCGCTTCCCTCAGCTGAGATGCCTCCCCCAGGGCTTCCCAGCGCCAGGACGAGGAGAGCCCTGCATGGACCCCCGAGGGGCTCTTCCTTTGGTTGCAGGTGCCTTATTTCTTTTAAGGTACAGCTCTGGTCTAGCTGCCCAAGGGGGGCAGTGTCTGACCAGCTCCTCGCAGCCACAAAGACCCAGTTGCGTCCTGCCCCCCCCCCCCCCCCCCCCCCCCCTCCTCAAGCCTGGGCCTTTTCCCCTGAGACGTTGGACTGCCCGGTGCTCCCAATGCTGCATCCGACGCCCCTGGCAGAGGTTGTCAGGACCACACGCAAAGCCATCAACAGTGGGTTGGCCTTTGCATTTCCCCTTGAGGCCCTTGATGCAGGCGAAAAGCAGTAGCAGGTTTGGCAGGAGTGAAAGTCAACTGCAGCCCGTCCCCTGTGGCCCTGGGAACGCACCCTCCTTACTTTAGTTTTGTGATCACTGGGAAAGCGCCGCCCACTGGTGGCCGAGGGTCCATCCTCACCTACACCCATGGGCTGCCCACACAGAGTCCTTTGGTTTGGGGCCCCAGAGGCCTCAGGCTGCCTGGTGTCTGTCTTTCATTAAACCTCAGCAGTTCCCTCTCAGGCTTCCTCCCAAGGTCAAGGAACTAACCTCCTTAGGAGTCACTGGTGCCTTAATCTCTCTCTCATTTCAAAGTGGACGGCTTTCCTCTAGTGGATGGGAGGGGCTGGCGGAAACCAACCAGTTAGTCTGTGCCTGGATTTGACTTGAATTTTTAAAAACGTGTATTGTTTCAAAACCTTGTTTGCAGATGTTTGCACGTAGGATCTTGCACTGTCCATTTCCAATGGGGTGTGACTCTTCAGACTGAAAATCAAGCAGACCCCCTGGGAAGGGAGACTGGGAGTGGCTCAGAATAGCCACCTGTGGTGGGCAGGGCGCAGGCCACTCTGGACCTGTGAGCGGTAGGGAGCACCAGGGTTTCTAGGCAGAGCCGTGTTGGGGTGCGGAGACTGTTTGCCTCTTGAGTAGAGGACTGTAACAGACAGATCGTTGCCATGCTCGATAGTCAGCCGAGAAGACGGGAGTGGGGGAGAGATTTTTTGGAAGGAGGTTTATTTGTTTTCATTCTGACCTGCCTCAGTGCTATTTGAGGCAGCAGGCTTTGGTACTGTGTATGACTGCTCCCTCCAGGTCTCGGGGCTCCTATCGACCTGAGTCCCCATCCTCCTCTTCATGTTTGTCTGTTGGCCTCACTAATAGCAGCTCCAGGGGAACAAAAAAAAAAAAAGTTCCTTCCACCAGTGTGTGTGTGGGGGGCACATGGTGGCCTTTCCGGATCTTGTTGGTCTTTGGAGGTTTTGTTTATGAAATCTTAAGATGTGAGCCACAAGGCAAGAGAGGGTGAGGATTTGTTGAAGCTGCCAGCTGGAGAAGAGACCTCCTCAGCTCATCTAAGCCTCCATGGTATTTCCCTTCTGGGTGAAGATCTGAAGTATGTCTAGAATTGTGCTTTTGATAGTTTGCGACTTGGAAGTTTTGTTTAAAAAGTTGATTCAATCTCATCCTTCCAAGAGAATGACAGAAGAGGAATGTTAAGGAGATCTTCTTAGCATGTGTGGTTTAAAGTCCACAAATTGACTAATCTGCATTAGCAAATGGAACACCATGATTTATTTAACTGATGGCTTCTGTCCTCATTTATTACACACCTGAGACAGATATTTATTGATCCAGGCAAAGGAATTAATCGTGCTTGGGTTTGCTTTTTGTTGGTTTATAAGATTAATGATTCGTGTTTTTAAAATGCCTTTTCCATATCTCAGATATCTCTGATGAGGCAAGCAGTCATCAGTTAAATATATAACCTCTCAGGGTGAGGATGGGAGTGTCAGTATAGACCAGTGTATACTTAGTTGCTGCTGACTGGTAGCCAGTTTACAACTTCACCTTTGTACACACCTGATAGTGTAGTAAATATTTCAGACTATACACATAAAAATTTTGTGGGTGTTTATGGGCATTTTAGCCTTCAGATATATTGCAAGTATGATACCTGTGGCATTTTTAACCACTTTTCCTCTCCTCTGTGCAAAGAAGATTCCTTTTATTTATGCCAGGATTTTCCCATGGCTGAGGTTTAATGACAGGAAGCAATCCCAACTCTCGACTCTGAGTGAAAACAAACCAAAACCCTTTTTACATGTTGTCTGTTTCCAAAATGGATCCAATAAACATAATTTTGTACATGTTACCCTGTTGCCATTGCCTGGTGCCTCAAGTGTGTCTTGGTTGAATCTGCAAAGCACAGCAGTCAAATTGGATCTTGGCGCATCCTGTGCTCCCTGTATCCATGGGTTAGTCGGCTTTTCTTTGCTGTGAAAAAATACCTGAGAAAAAGAACTTAAAGGAGGAAAGATTTGTTTGGGCTCATGGTTTCAGAGGTCATGGTTTCCATGGCCACTTGGTTCCATTATTTCAAAAAGAGGGAAGGAAAGAGAGGGAAGGAGAGAGAGAGAGAGAGAGAGACCCTTCAAAGCAGACCCCAGAGACCTACTTCCTCCAATGACATCCCAACTCCTAAAGTGTCCACCACCTCCCAACCCACCATTAAATTATGAATCCCTGCATGGATTCATCCATTGATGAGGTCCTTGCCCTAAGGATCCAGTCACCTCCCCCAAACCTCACCTCTGAACCCTGCTGCCTTGGGGACCAAGCCTTCAACACATGAGCTTTCAGGGAACATTTTAGATCCAAACCATAAAACCCCACTTGTCCTGCCATCTCATCTCTTTTCCTGAGGCTTCCTCTCCAGAGTTAGGCAGTAGCCTTGGCTCTGCTCATCTACCCTGGGTTTTGTCGCCACCTGGACTGGATAAGCAAGTCACTTCCTAGAGAAACAGCCTATCAGTGCAGCTTAGGAAACCCTAAAAATATCTGAAGGCGGGCCACTCCCCCACATCAACGTGGCCTCTCTTCCCAGAGCGCTGGACCTTGACAGGGCACTCCCCGTATTTAATCGTGGACTCTCTCCTCACACTTCCCTCTGATACTGTTGGGCAGAGGAAATTTATATTTACTCTCTGCATAAACACTCCTAGGAGGGCTGTAGCAGCATTAGTCTGAGCCCTCTGAAAGCTTAACAAGTGTTTGAAGAGATGTGATCTGAACTGATTAATAATCCCACATTTTTGCTGAGCCTCTGCAGGCCGTTGCTCTGGTAAATAGCCGCTGAGTATTTTGCCTTGGTGGATTTCATGCCATCAGTGCATCTGTGCCATTAATGGGCCACCATGCTCATCCATCCACCCGCTCATCTCTCTGTCAGATCTTTTGTGGTGCTCCGACTGCATGGGGGCACTTTTCTTGGTGCTGGGGATGGTAGTAGTGCCTGCTCCCTTGGATGTGGTGGGGAAGCTGGAAATCAAGTCAACAGGAGCATTTCAAAGAGTGAACAACGCTGGATGGTAAAGAGCCGGTGACGGGAGGTGACCAGAGGTGACCGGAGGGAAGGTGGAAGAGGTCCCTCTCCAAGTTGGCTTGAGCTGAGAGCCGATGACGAGGGACCCAGCCTTACGATCTGCTTTCACTTCCTGTCACTTGTAACAGATGGTAAGAAACTGTGTGACTTCACACGCATTTACGATCTCTCAGCTCTGGAGGTTGGAGGTCCAACATGTCTGTGAAATCAAGATGGTGTCAGGGCTGCATTACATTCTGGAAGCTCTCAAAGATGGTCTCTTCCTTGCCTCTGCCAGCCCCTACAGGGTGTGGGTGGTCCTTGGCTCTGGCCACCTTACTGCCCCTTCAAAGCCAGCACTGAAGGGAGACTTGAGCCTCCCGGGTTGCATGACTCCAGCCCACATTCTGCCTTCCTCATCAACTTTAAAGACCTTTGTATTTACATGCCTTTCTCCCAGGTATGTGCAGAAACGACCTTCCTCCCTTCCTTTCTCTCTAGGTAGGGATCTTCCCCCCCATGCTCTCCAAGCATGCTCCAAATGGACAAGAGAACCTGTGAACACAGGTGGGGCCCAGGATCTGAGCCCCTCCCATTCCAGCCGGTGGAAGCTACTTTCCTGCAGAGAATTAACTCAGTCCACAGGGCTGCCGTTCTGCTCTGGAGTCTGTGGCCTCTTTCTTGGCCTGCCCTCTTTAGACCTGTGGTGAGACATTTCTTCGATGCCCGGAACGTCTATTTGAGGAAAAGGTAATCAGCCCTTATTGTTCACCTGGTTGAAGCCCATTTCTTTGAAGAAACCCCCTTGTCAAGAAAGAGGGTGTCCCAGGTCAGTGTGCTCAGCTCCCTGCCCATAGGCAGCCAGCAGACAGTGAGGTTCAAATTCCTTTGCCCTGTTGTACAAGTGAGCTCTGTGCTGATGCTCACAACCTTGGGAGGCAGGCATCACCCTCATTTTGCAGATGAGGAAACTGAGGCTGGGGTCTTCTAAGTGATAGAGCTGGGCAGGACTCAACCCCAGGTTCTGCATCCAAATGGTCCTGGCTTGATAGAAAATGAGAAAGGGGAATTGTCAAGCCAGGAGCATAAACTGCTCAGCCTGCTACAAGGTTAGGGATGCTTTGACAGGTTCCAGAAACACCGAGGAGCAAAGCTACACCTCTTGCTCTTCCCTGGCCACTTCAAGAAAACTCACGGGGCAGGGAGCAGGGGGAGGAGATTCTGGTGTCCTGGACAGTAGATTTCTTAGGTAACTGATTTCAGTGGTTTTTATTTTCCCCTTAAAATTAACATTAAGTTTAAATTTGGCTTAACTTAAAAGGTAATATTTTAATGTTTACTAATCACTAATAATTTAATAAATAATATAATAATTTTGTCTTTAGAATATTCAAACTCAAAGACCTTTTGTAGGCTTTTAAGTTCAGCTTATGCATCTAGCAGAGTTTAGCAATAACTTTCGCAAAAGCTTTGAATAATGCTTGGTCCAGTTTACAAGCTTAGCTCAGCCCTTCAAACACTTCTAAATGAACTTATAAATCTATTTATTTATTTAAATACTTCAGTTTTTCTGATAGCAAGCAAAAATCACCCCAAATCTTAAATAATTACAGACGCTAATGAGCTTATAAATAAAGAAAACCTTAAGTTCTATTACATGATTTTATAGTCTACTTAGGTGTCACCATAAAAATTCACAAGTCTAAATTAATTCTCAATTACACATTTTAAAGTGGAGTTATA